GAGAGAGAGAGAGAGAGAGAGAGAGAGAGAGAGAGAGAGAGAGAGAGAGAGAGACCCTCAGTGGTGGAGAGTCTGCAGGGGCTGACGCTCTGGGAGCCCCCTGAGTTTCCCCGTGTTCTCACACCTTCATCTGCAGATTAGTGGTGGGAATGACAGCCACCTCTGGCCTGCCTCTGGGAACTGTGTAACAAGTGTCACAGTACCCCTGAGCAGTACAAGGAACGAGAAAACCCTGTGCACACTGGATGAACAAAGCCACCAAGCCCAGCCTGGAACTGTGGCCACCAGAAAGCTGCTGGGTAGCTCCTGGGCAAGATGGTTTCCACATGGGGACTCTGAGGTCCATGGTAGGGTGCAGTGGAGGAGGCAGAGGCAGGGGCAGACAAACAGAATTAGGAGCAGGATGGAATTCCCCCCTACTGCAGTCCACTACAGACCACAGGGGAGGCCCTGAGCAGGTGAGGGCAGGAGGTGGCATGGAAGAGCTGTGGGCTGGGAGTGAATGCTCTCTAGGTGCAGTGTCTTAGGTTAGGGGCCAGGATCTGGAGGTGGATTCCAAAGGCAGCTAGGCTGCAAAGAAGGCTGAAGAGGCTGGCCACTGGGGTAGGGTCCTCCAGGCATGCTTCTTCATGACGGTCGTGTTCAGCAGGTTCAGAGGGGTGACAAGATCCTCCTGTACTGGGCAGTGAGTGAGAGGCAGGGTGAGTGTGTGGCTGTATAGGGTATGGTTGCCATGGTGTACACCACTGTGGACATCTTGGTGTCTCACAGGCAGCCTCCAGATCCAAATTAGGTGCCACGGGAGAGGAATCCTTTGATTTTCAGAACTAGAAAGGACTGCAGCTACCCAGGCCAGACTTGTCCTTGTGGAGGGAAAGCCGGCACAGAGAGGGGAGGTGAAGGACTTCAGGGTCCACAGCGAGCAACCCGGCTCACCCAGCATGGCACGTGGAATCCCACCACAGCATCCCAAGACAGTCTGGGAGTGTATCAATGGGGCTCCTGACACCTGAGGTTCTCACTGTAGGGCAGGGAAGCTTGAGAGGTTGACTCACTGCCTGAGGACGCAGCTGCCTCAAAACAGCCTGCATCGAGGCCTCACTGTTGCCGTCCCCTCAGGCTCCAGGAACAGAAGCCCGATTCCTGGCCACACAGCCTGAGTCAGTACTAGCTCCGATTTGTGTGTTTTTCTCTCGGCCCCACACCCCCAGAACTGGGTGGGAACTCTGAGCCAGCACACGGAGGGGAGAGTCCACCCTGGGCTGAATAATCCAGAGTGAGGAGTTGGACGGGACCGAGTGACGAAATCCAGAGGGGAACCTGGAGTCAGCAGTCGGAGGGCCCCGCCTTCTCCGGGTGCATATAAAGGAAGCTGGTGTCTGAGGCACCCACAGCATCCACATCTCCCTGAGCTGTTCTCTCTGCCTTCTGCTGCTGACTTGCTCACGTTCTCACCTTCCTCAACAACATGACCACCTGCAGCCGCCAGTTCACCTCCTCCAGCTCCATGAAGGGCTCCTGTGGCCTTGGTGGTGGCTCTAGCCGCTTTTCCACTGTCCTGACTGGAGGATCCTGCCGGGCTCCCAGCACCTATGGGGGCCTGTCAGTCAGCTCCTCTCGCTTCTCCTCTGGGGGAGCCTGTGGGATTGGGGGTGGCTATGGTGGGGGCTTCAGCAGCAGCAGCTTTGGGGGCGGCCTGGGTAGTGGCTTTGGTGGTGGCTTTGGTGGAGGCTTCGGTGGTGGCTTTGGTGGCGGTCTTGGTGGCGGCTTCGGTGGTGGTGATGGGCTCCTGGTGGGCAGTGAGAAAGTGACCATGCAGAACCTCAATGACCGGCTGGCCAGCTACCTGGACAAGGTGCGAGCCCTGGAGGAGGCCAACACTGACCTGGAGGTGAAGATCCGCGACTGGTACCAGAGGCAGCGGCCCACTGAGATCAAAGACTACAGCCCTTACTTCAAGACCATCGAGGACCTGAAGAGCAAGGTGGGTCAACTGGGGATGACGTGTTGAGCGGCCAGAACTACAGTGGACTTTAGGAAAAACCACTTCCACAGAGTCTGATACACAGGCAAGAAGACTAAAGACTTTTGGAGGCCAATGGTCAGAGTTACCTAGAGAAGTGGCAGAGGGTCTCTTTCGAACATCCCTGCCTCGGCTGGAACTAAGACCTTGCTTGACTCTTAATGCTTTCGAGGCTACTTCGTGCTGAATGTTCAGCTCCTTAACTCTGGGCCCGGGATAGGGGTGGTGGTAGCTGGAACTGCACCCTGCATATTGGGTAGAGATGTAACCAGTTGTCTGTGGGGGCTGTAGGAGCTGACCTGCCAGCCAGGTGATCACTGGATTTGGGGGACTCCTTTGCCCGCCTCTGTCCTTCTCCCTTGAGCAGAGGGGTCCCTGGCTGGCTGATCAGACCTCCTATCTTTTTGTTCCCATTTTAGATCATCGCAGCCACTCTGGAGAATGCACAGCCCATTTTGCAAATTGACAATGCCAGGCTGGCAGCTGACGACTTCAGGACCAAGTGAGCAGCCATCATGCTAGGCAGAGGGCAGAGGGCAGAGGGCAGAGGGCAGAGGGCAGAGGGCAGAGGGCAGAGGGCAAGGACAAAAAAGTAGGGCTGTCCATCTGCAGCTCTGATCTCTGTCCTCTCAGGTATGAGCATGAGCTGGCCCTGCGCCAGACCGTGGAGGCTGACATCAACGGCCTGCGCCGTGTGCTGGATGAGCTGACCCTGGCCAGGACCGACCTGGAGATGCAGATTGAGAGCCTGAAGGAAGAGCTGGCCTACCTGAAGAAGAACCATGAGGAGGTGAGGCTGCTGCTAGGTTTGGGGATGAAAGGCTGGTTTGGTGAGGTTCCCAGGAGAGGTAACCACCCTCTTGTGATCTTTCCCAGGAGATGCTTGCCTTGAGGGGTCAGACTGGTGGGGACGTCAATGTGGAGATGGACGCAGCCCCTGGTGTGGACCTGAGCCGCATCCTGAATGAGATGCGAGACCAGTATGAGCAGATGGCGGAGAAGAACCGCAGAGATGCGGAGGCCTGGTTCCTGAGCAAGGTGGGACTTACCTCATGTGTGCTCACTCCCCAGGCTGCCTGGTCAGGGAGGCTTTAGAGAGTCTCACACCTCCTCCTCTCTCCTGTCTCAGACTGAAGAGCTGAACAAAGAAGTGGCCTCTAACAGTGAGCTGATACAGAGCGGCCGCAGTGAGGTGTCCGAGCTCCGCAGAGTGTTCCAGAGCTTGGAGATCGAATTGCAGTCCCAGCTCAGCATGGTATGAAGGACCCCGCCCCAGTGCGGTCCCCAGTCACCATCCCTCCAGAGGGTCACCATCCAGTTCCACTTTTCTTTTCATGGGGGATGAGACTGAAAGCATCGTGGTACCCATTACAGGGATGGACACATTGAAGCCGGAATGTTGGGAAAACACTTCTCCAATTTGTCTCTTCCGATTACCCCCAGCTGGGGTCAAGATCCACGTGTCTATCCAAAAGTGTGACCAGATAGAAGTGCAGAGACAGAGCGACCATCATCACCAACCTTTCTCCCTTTCCTTCCCTCACAGAAAGCATCCTTGGAAAACAGCCTAGAAGAGACCAAGGGCAGGTACTGCATGCAGCTGGCCCAGATCCAGGGCTTGATCAGCAGCGTGGAGGAGCAGCTGGCTCAGCTGCGCTGTGAGATGGAGCAGCAGAGCCAGGAGTACAACATCTTGTTGGACGTGAAGACCCGGCTGGAGCAGGAGATCGCCACCTACCGCCGTCTGCTGGATGGCGAGGATGTCCAGTGAGTTGGCCCTTAGACCCTGTTCATAGCACCTCTGCCCCCTGCTACTCCCAGCACATCTAACACTCCCATTTCTTCCCCCCACCCCACCCCAGCAGCTCCTCCTCACAGTACTCATCTGGCCAGTCCTATTCTTCCCGAGAAGGTAAGGCACTTGGGGTCCACAGCCTGACTCTGTGGTGTGAGGGCCAAACCCCTCCTCCCAGAGCCCTGGGCATCCCTTCCCCTGCCTGGCAGCTTACTTAGCTCCCAGAGCCCACCACACATTCCCCTTCTCTTTTGCAGCCTTCTCCTCATCCTCTCGCCAGCCTCGGTCCATTCTGAAGGAGCAAGGCTCATCCAGCTTCAGCCAGAGCCAAAGCCAGAGTTCCAGGAACTAATCTGCTCCACTCAGAGCCTCCTGGCCTGTACCAGCCTCACATCCTGGAGGCCTGAGCCGGGACCCTGTTTCCTTAGCGCGGCCCCCAGCTGTCTCCCCTCCCTTCTGCTGGTGGTGGGCTAATAAAGCTGACTTTCTGGTTGATGCAAAACTTGTGTGTGATCTCCATGTTTAAACTGATGGGAGAGGAGTTGAAGGGGCCTCCCAGGAACTCCTCTGGGGTTCCCACACTTAAAGAGATGCAGAGAACTGACTGTGTTTCAGAAGATCTTCCAGAAGTTCTCCATGTCATCAGGGGGTGGATGGTGGGGGAGTGGGCCACCCAAGGTGGGAGGATATTCATGAGTGTTGACGGCCACTGTGTGAGGCCTTCTACAGAGGGTCTACACTCTCCTCTTTTAGGGCCCCTGCAAGGCAGGTGTAGTTAGGGACATTTTGGGGTTAAAAACTCCTGGGATTCAGGGAAGTTTGCGTATTTGCATTAAAGATACAGGATATGGCATTTGAAGTTCAACTCTAGGTCTTTTTGTCTGGCCACAGTTCATGCCTTTCCGTTAACACCACTCCACCTGTTCAGGTATTTCTCCCCAAAGACTCCTAAATTTGTTGATCTCTGAACTTCAGAGTTGTGCTTGGGAACAGATCTTCTACACACAAGCAAGCATTATGTATGTGCTTGTGAGTGCACATGTGTGTGAGTGTACACACAAACACACACACAGAGTGATTTTGGTATCGAAGGGAAGGCAGAGCCTTGGGATGGGGTCATGGCCATGATCAAAATCTCTCTTCTCCTAGCCTGTCCTTTCTCCTCACCTTAACTGTTCCTTCATTTGAATGCTGTTGGATCCCTGGGAAACACCTGCTCCCCATCTTCACTCATTTCCGGCGCTAACACCATTTCTACAGCCTTTCCCCTCTCTCCCAGAACTGGGTGTAGGTCTCTTTCTATCTGTCTCTCCCATTCCAGTTTCTACCAGACATCTCTTCTCTCAGGAGTTTGGTCAAAGTCAGGAAAACAGAGATCAGCACCCCCTTACTCAAGAGCGGGTGACGGTTCCTTCTTGCACTCACTCGGCCCTTCCCTATGCTGCTCTCATGAGTCAACTCTTCCTAATTGCACGGTCCACACCTCTCAGGAACTGTTCCTTTCCCCTGGCTGTCTGACAGAGTTTAAGAGGAAAAGAGTTATGTATGTATAATAGCATAATGTGCGTGTGTGTACACGCAGGTGTGTGTGTGTGTGTGTGTGTGTGTGTGTGTGTGTGTGTATGAGTGTGTGTGTTCCACTTGTGCAAAGAAGAACCATTCCCCAGCTGACTCCTATCTCCTTTCCTACCTCCCATTGTTATTGGAATTCTGTCACTGGCTCACTGGCCAATTGAGAGGAGCATTTTGGTCCACGATGGGGGTTTCATGGGGGATGGAGGTGACCAAGAGAAAAGGCAGAGTGGAGAGGAAATGAGCGACGGTGGGGTTGGTGGTGGCTTGTGATTCGGCTCAGGTTCCCCTTTTGTTCTTTTATTATCTGTGTGTGGGATTTTGCATTTTAATAAACCATGAAGAAATTTCTAACATCCCACTTTCAACCTCAGCTCTTTCTTTTTGGTATTGTCTCCTTTATTTTTAAATGCCAATCTTCTACTTCCATTTCTTGATTACTTAGCTTCACTTTTTAATCAAATGCTTCCTCCTCTATCTGAAGGATGATAATGTAGTTCTTATAAGATATTGACTTCTCCATTTTCTGAACAGATTCATAATTTTGGTTAAATACGTACATGATTGTGACTATATACTATTCATAGTCAAAACATTTTCTTTTTTTGGAGCTGAGGATTGAACCCAGGTCCTTGCGCTTAGCGCTCTACCACTGAGCTAAATCCCCAACCCTCATAGTCAAAATATGTTTTATAGTGCAGTAAATTTCCTTGGAATAAACATTTTTTAACCCAATTTGTTTAAGTTTTCTATGTATATGCCATTCACTTATTCCCTGGTTTACTGTTGAATATACATATCCTCTTAATGTGTTAACATCCTGGGATTTCTATCAATTTCATATTGAAGATATCTTCTGGGGTCTTCTGTCTTCCTGTTCCAGTCTACTATGTGAGCATGCTCTCTCTCCCTCAACTATTTTAGGGAATCACATATTCCAGCTGTTTTTCAAGAAGGGATTCATATGGGTTAGCTTTTTTGTTGTTGTTATTGTTGTTGAACTTCTCATGTGTGGAAAGATCTTTTGTTTACTCTCACTCGTGACAGTTTGGTTGGGTATAGGAGTCTAGATAGTTTGGTTGGGTATAGGAGTCTAGGTCAGGTACTGTTTTTACTCTGCATCTGAGGGTTTTCAATGTCGTCATTGGCTCTTGGTGTTGCTATTAAAAAGTCTCAAACCACATTGGTTGTAGATCCTTTGTCCTGTTCTGTTCCCGCTCTCTTTACTGGAAACATCGTAGTGCTTTTTCTCTCTAATGGAATAGACTATCACATGTAATGCCTTGATACAGCTGTGTCTTCTCCCATTGGATTGGGCATGAATTCTTACTTCTAGCATGGGAACTTAAGTTCTAAAGTTCTGGAAAATTCCCTTATTTTTATAGCTTCCTTTCCCTACTTCCTCTCTTTCTGGAACCCCTTTCTTTTCATGAGTGTCTCATCCTATTTTCAATTTAATTTGTTTTTTTTTTTGTTACTTTTTGAAAAAAATTCTTAGTTTTGTCAACAAAATGTATTACTTAAAGTTAAAAAACCTGCAATGTTTTTGATATTCCATAGCTCTGGATATTTTGTCAGTAGGCTTTTTTTTTTTTTTTTTTTTTTTTTTTTTTTTTCAAGACAGGGTTTCTCTGTGTAGCCCTGGAGGTCCTGGAACTTGCTCTGTACACCAGGCCTGCCTCTGCCCTGTGCTGAGATTAAAGGCTTGTGCCACCGCCACCCACTGTTAGTAGCCTTTAGTTCTTGACTTAAGATGTTTTGTCCCTTTGGGCCTGTTAGTTATGGCTTAGACAACCCTGGATTTTTTATTTTCTAGCTTTCTTCTAAGTGCCTCGGTATATATATATTTGTTTTTGTTTCGTCTCCATCCTTCACACAGGAAACTCTTCTCAAATTCCTTTTGGTCCTTGGTAGCCAATCATATTTAAGGGAAAGATTACAAGGAGCTGATTGGAGTGTGTACAGCAGAGGGCTTGTCTTCTAGACCGTCTTACTGTGGATTGATCTGACCGGGGTACGCTGTTTCACTGAAGTGTCCGGATGTTGAATCTAGAGTCAGTTTCCCTTGAGATGGAACTTCTTTGGAAAGGTTATTTATAATTTTCTGTGTAGATTGTAAAAGCTACCTACCAGCTTTCTGGGAGACACTCGGGAGCAGGGGGATGGGAAGGTCCCAGTCTGTCAATCTGTAATGTTTTAACTGATCATTTTAGTGTGTTACTCCGGTTCTTGGCCCCGGTTGTTGCTTTTGGTTCCCACCTACTGGGGAGTGTTTTTTTTTTTAGTTGACTTCCAGATTCTTCTGGTCCAAAGCTAGAGTAGTCGGTAGCTATCAGATGTGAGGAGGGAAAGAGGACCTATGGAGACTTCCCTACTGCTTCTAACCCAGGGCTGGAGAGATGGCTTAGCGGTTAAAAAGCACTGGCTGATTTCCCAGAGGACCTGGGTTCAATCACCAACATCCACATGGCAGCTCACAACTGTTGGTAACTCCAGCTCCAGGGGATCTGACACCTTCACACCAATGCACATAAGATAAGTTTAAATTAAAAAAAAAAAAAAAGACCTCTCACCCTTCCTGCTGTTTTCTTGAGATAGGGTCTCACCATGCAACCTAGGCTGGTTTGAACTTGGCATCCTCCTGCCTCAGCCTCCTGGATACTAGGATTGCATGAATGCACCACCGCAGCTGCCTGCCAGCCTCCTGTTTCCAGCTCACTCTTACCTCATTTTCAGAGATGTCTCGGATCTTCGCTGGCAGTGGCCTTCTGGTGTTCTGATGTGTGATCTGCTTTGTTCTTGCTCTCTGCCCGGGTGAACACTTCATTTTCCTTGTCCAGATTCTGACACTTCACTGCTGTAAGTTCCTTTGTCCTTTGGATTTTTCTCTTACTTTTTGTCCTCATGGATTTTATCCAATTACAGTCATCCTAGAGGTGCTTAGAAGGCGAAACTAAACCATGTATTCAGTTTGTCATTTTAATCTGAAATCCCTGCTTTGCGTGGTGAAACCATATTCACCTTTCAAGGTTGCTGAGCCTGACTCATTATTTTACAAAAAATAATTTTTGTTAATTGTTCAGCAAACACATCTCTCTCTTTATGGTCACCAACCCTGTCTTCCAGATTATAGGGTGAACCTTATGAGTCATACTGAACCCTAAACCCCAATACCCCAAAGCAACTACCGGTAACAAGTTTCTTATTTTTACATGCGTATGAAAACACTTATGTATGTTATAATTACAGCTAAAGTCTACTGAATCCATTTTGCATTCAACTTTATTTTCCCATGGTGCTGTGTATCTACTTTGAGAGCCTAAGAATGCTAAGCAAGCAGCCTAAGACACAGTGGCATCCCTGGGTCAATTTTATTAATATTATAAATGAAACACGCTTCTGTATTACTAAAAGCTTTTGTCCATTTTTGGTGTTCTTTCCACCAATTGTGGCTGCTGTTGTCACAGGAAGAGCACTGCAGTGAACATCCTTCTACATAACACTTTTTTAACTAAATACTTTTGGATCATTCCCTTAGGCTAGTTCTCGGAAATGTAATTACTAAATGAGCAGATAGAAATGTTTCGAGGTTCTTGATTTGTATTGCCAAATTGATTTCAAGAGGCATTGTGCCAATCTGCCTATTTGCCAGCAGGGAACGGGAGTGTCATTTTCAAGACAAGTCCGCGCCAACTTTGAGCATTGTCTTCCGAGCACTTCCTTAATCAAGGGATTCATCTGTCTCTTTCAGAGCTGATGTCATGCAGGGACCCTTACACAGAGACACAGACGTGGGCTGTTGAACAGCTCCTGGCCTGGCACACATGCACAGGAATTGTTCGGAACGAGATGTCAGAACACAGGCTGTGGATCACACCTTACCTGGGTGCGGGAGCTGTTGTTAAGAGTGGCCAGTACCACTGTTCTCAG